AGTAGTAGTAGTAGTAGTAGTAGTAGTAGTAGTAGTAGTAGTAGTAGTAGTAGTAGTAGTAGTAGTAGTAGTAGTAGTAGTAGGAGGAGGAGGAGGAGGAGGAAGAGGAGGAGGAGGAGGAAAATGAGAGCAGTGCCTTCCTTTATCACAGAAGATAGAAATAAACAGTGAAACGCAATACTAACAGACATCAGATGAATACGGAATATGGATCGAGGGGTTCTGGGAAACTTTTGACAAAAATTATATAACCGTACAACTGACGATACAAAAAACAAGAAAACTAAGTTTGCTTCTCCCCTAGACAAGTTAAAGTAATATTGCCCAGAACAGTATTTAAGTAAGTAAAAGCACGAGTATAATAGATAGATAGATAGATAGATAGATAGATAGATAGATAGATAGATAGATAGATAATCATTAGAATGAGCTCTGACATAACAGGGGCCCTATCTTCATCACATGACAGAAGATGTAGGCAGATGAATACGGTAATTAACTTAACATTGCCTTGTACGCTACCAACTGGTGTGCTCAAACTGTCCTCAATCAGATGACTCACCTGGTTTGTCGAGCTACCCTAACTTGTAAATATCTTTAAAGTTATCTTAGTGTTTATTACTATCTTTTCAGTTTGTGAATGCTGTCGCGTCCCCTCGACCTAAGGCAGGTTCTCAATGACACGAAATGGTAGTGAGAGGAAGGTTTTATCATTTTTGAAGAGAATACCAATAGAAAAGATTAAAATTTTGTGAAAGGAGGTATGGGGGGTTTTTTTGTTTGTTTTTTTCGTTGTTTTTTTGTTTGTTTGTTTTGATTGTCGCGTTGTTGTTTTTTGTTGTTGTTGGGGTTTTTTGGGGGGGTTGTTTTTTTTTGTTGGGTTTTTTTGCTGTTTTTTGTGTTGGTCTTTTTTGGGAGAGGGGGGATTGAAACGACTCACACAATAGACTACGAGAGCCCCCTTGGAAAGAGGAGCCCAACCTTGTCAAAGGAGATGTGTACAACAAAAAGTTGGATGTTTATAACCCAATTTTCCATTGACGATTCATAAGACGGTAGATCAAAGGAAAGGTAGAAGCCAACGCTGCAGCTGACGTTTGAACAGTGACCCAGGTTTATTTATGGAAAAGGGGAGGTGGAAGGGTGAGAGAACCAGGGACAGCTTGGATTACTGATCAAATATCAGGACCTGATTTTCATAAACGGGAGTTTGCCATTGACGTTTAGGGGAATTATGACCGTGAATTTGTTTTGGAAAAAGGAAAAAAAATACAGCTACGAATTTTAAAATCGTGTTTCTCAGTGTAAGGGAGGAACTGTAAACCTATCCGAAAAGGACCGTTGTTTTCGCTTTTATTCATTTACTTTTTAGATAATAGAATTTATTTCCAACACAGATGATGAGTTTGTCTATTAAATACTGCTCGAGGCTTTATATTTCAACAGCAAGTTTATGTTGAGTGCTCGTTTTGCCGCGACTCTCTGGCCGGAAAACATGTAGGTCATCCACAATATAGTCCCAAGCCATAAGCCTCACCTCCCCAGTCACACACCCCCTCCCCAACACACACACACTTTTTCCCCCAAGAAAAAAAATCAACAACTTTGATGTCGAAATGAAATGAAAGGATCTCCCCATGCCTCATCCATCGTCTAGAAAAAAAAAGACTAATTTAAAACCGACTGGGTTTTGAAACTCAATAGTATGCAAGACTGACGTCGGAACTAGTCGTCCCAGGGATAGACTTAAGTCACCCGTGGTCCAAGGCTGTTCTTAAATTATTAATTTTATTAATTTGATCACCTATTGTTGGCGGCCTGGAATTCCTAAACTCTTGCGCACCGAGATGCTTAATGTATAGTCACTAGTGGCTTATTTTTTTTTCTAAAGAACGAAGACATGGGATTTGGGGTGGGGGGCAAAAACACATTGTAATTTTCAAATTATGTTTTATTTACTTACTTATCTATCTATCTATCTATCTATCTATCTATCTATCTATCTTTCTATCTATCTATCTATCTATCTATCTATCTATCTATCTATCTATCTATCTATCTATCTATCTATCTATCTATCTATCTATCTATCTATCTATTTATCTATCTATCTATCTATCTATCTATCTATCTATCTATCTATCTGTGTGCGTGTGGGGGGGGGGGGGGGTATGTTTAATTTGAACACCCCAAGAAGAAGAGACAGGGTGAGAAACGAGATAGTCCGAATACAAAGTTGGCTCAACTCCAACAATGCATAAAATGTTAGGTATCCACCTGTCAAGATTTCCACCAGACAGTATAGCAGTGAAAGCATGCAAGCAGAGATCAGATGAATACATAAGAAGAGGCGGGTCCTGGAAAAGATGGCATGTGGGGGAGGGGTTCAGAAAAACATAAGACAAAAACAATATAACCATGCAACAGGCAATACGACAAACACCAAAAAGAAATATGCTTCTCCATTCAGCACCATAATATGGTAACAGTGTCCGGAAAAGTATTTAAGCAAGTAAAAATTTATAGTCTTTATGTGTTTTAAAGTGCCCCCCCCCCTTTCCACCCGCAACCCCACCACCCATTCTTTCACTCTGTCCCACGCTTCTCAACCCAGCACAAAAGAGGAGAATGTTCAGCAGTAAAACTCTTAGGAGAGAAACAATAAACACATGTCATCCATATCAATCACAATATCCAATATCTGCAAAACAAGTTCATGAAAATGACAGGCTGGCTCAGAACGTCTTGAGAAAATACCACACATAACATTCCCATTCGCGTGGTTTGGAGAGAGGCATAAACATGTACTTGCTTTATAATATTCTAGAACGTGCGCTGTGGTGTATTTTCGGCTCACCATCGGGTGCTCCATTTGACTCCATTAGAGCCAAATGAAGGGGAAAGGGGAAGGGGGAATGCCACGCGACACTCAACAGAAGTGAGACTGGTGTTTTGCTCTTCATTTGGGCATAATGGCGTGGCCCATGGGGTGCAAGCTTCGCTGCGAATTCTGTTATAGAGAATGAAGAACGGCAACCAAGGCATCGTGTAGCCTAAGAGTAGGTTACAAGTCTATGAGGAGAGATGACTGGAGTAGTACGTTGGTACAAGGTTGAGATACAAAACTATTGAAAAGTGTATATAAAAGACACAATGAAGATACTTTAAAGATAAAATTTAAAAGATACAATATAATAGAATACTCTAAATATTCAAGAGAGAGAGAGAGAGAGAGAGAGAGAGAGAGAGAGAGAGAGAGAGAGAGAGAGAGAGAGAAGCAATACAGAAATAGTAAAGATGTCTTAAATAAACACATTCGTCGAAAGTCCATTAGCAATTCCTTTTTTTAATGGACGAATTCCAAAACTCTGTTGCATCTGTTGAGTGCTGATGAGATAACTTTATGATCGAGTAAATTAGATTGCTCGTATCCTATATCATATACCTGTATTTGGTCTCCACAATGGCTATCAATTTGAATTCAGTTTTATTATCTAAAAAAATTATGTATTTACCTCCCTCACCTCCCGCCGTTTTTTAAATTGTTTTTTTTCGGTTTTTCTTTTGTTCTGTTTTTGGGTTTCAATTTTACCATTGAAGACACGAACTGCTTGACCATACCAGTTAGGACCAACCCGAGGTGATACAAAAGTCTAAAATGTGCAAAATGCGATACGTATACATCCCTATATGGGAATCGAACTAACATCCTCGGCGTGCAACACCGGAGAACCAAACCATAACACTTCAGACTTTTGTACTCAGCCTTATCACAGACATTACTATACATTTTAAAAAGATGAGGCTTCGTGAACAACCAAAGTGTATAGAAAGGTTAACGCTATCTTTGTTATCTTCAGAGTAGATCGCCATTAATACACGCCATAAAGTGTTATCGACATATTCAAAGAATTGCATTCGAGAAAGCTTGAAATATTGCGAGACTCAAAATGTTTTACGTCAAATTTCTCAAAACTAAGTACTGAGAAGATAGGACGTTGTAATTCTGAGGTACGGTAGCGATTTGTTTATAAGCTTATTACAATTATTATTGCACGGTGTCGAAAATTGTATCAGTATAATCAGAAACATTGTATCTACGTGTCCGGACTTCTATGACCTCTTGCATTGGGACAAAAGTTCCCAAACCATAATATCACTAAATCTTTCAAGGTCTTCAAAAGAATACAAGGCAAGGAAAACGTACTCCATTTGAGAAAACGATGGATCAAGCTCTAAGCTGTCACTTACTCGCTCAACACAATTTTTACGCGAAGGAGCTGCTATCATAATGCTATGCTAATGTCCAGGTATCACTTTTCCTTATCATGAGAACAGGTGGCGCTGTTGGTGGGACGAGTAATGGCGCGCGTGAGTCTAAAACAGCTGGTGGTCGCTGTGATTTCTTCGCTGGGGGCCCTCCTTCTCTGGAGAAATTCGTCACGTGAGTCATTGATAGTTGCTTTGAAACTTTGAATTTTGAACTTTGATCATTTCCAGAGAGACCCTGATGGGCAATGTGAATTTTTAACTCACAAAGGGAGATATTGGTGACTGCATTTTGAACTTTGATCTCGCGAAGAGAAACATCGGTGGGTATTTTCACGTTTGGGCTCTACCATTGAGTCATTGTTGGTTGAACTTTGAACTCGCCATAAGTGACTTTCTTTGGTTACACTTTTATCTTTCAATTCACCACGAAAAACATTTTTGTTACTCTTTGAACTCACCAAGAAAAACATTTCTGGTAGTAATATTGTAAAAGGTATTAAAGTGAGGAACCAGGCTACTTGAGCCCTGTCTGTCTGGGTCAACCCGCTCTGAGAGGGATACAACTTCCCATCAGACAGACGGAGATACTCGATCAAAAACTCCCAATACGGGAGTGGAACTGGCTTCAGCATGGGATGGCAAACCGTTTAACATCTACAGCACAGACAATATATTATCGCTGTACTATCACCAACAAGGGGAAGAACACTTTAATAATCAAACTAATACAACCATGTATTTTCCTACGTTTCTTTGTTTCGTATACCGCATCGTTAGCAACTAACTGTCGGTGGAATCTGCAATCGGTCACGAAGAAGAGGCAGGCTCTGTTGAAATAGGAGTTGAGTTTAAAAAATTAAATGTTTATTTAATGAAAGTCCGCTTGTGATGTGATTGCTTAGCTTTGTGCATGGAACATGAACACATTATAACACGAGAAAAAATTATGTAGATCATTTAATCGTAAGAAGAAGGTGGATGGGATAAGGACTGTGAATTTGTCAGAAGTCATTTACACAAAACCAGTTTAAAACAGAGATACTACTAATGCACCCACAGATTCGGTCAACCTGCTCCGACAGCTCTCTAGGATAGTACGCTGCACCATAGTGAAGAGAACTATTTATTCTTAACGATTCAACAGCTTTCCATTGTCGTCTGTGGTGTGACGGTAAGGCGTTTGCCGTAGCACGCAGAAGATTTGATTTCGATTCTCGAATAAAGATGATTTTTTTTAGCGATGTCCCATCCTGTGTGCTGAGATTTTGTACCCCTCTAAGTCCGGGTTGGCCCTGACCGGCAAGGGCGAAGCAGGCCACCTCCTTAATGATCTAGCTTTTTTCGACGGGCTATAAATTCTTTTAATATCTTTTAAATAACAGTTTTTATAACACAGAAATGCATTTCAGCATAAGGGCCCACCGTTTACTTTTCATTGCGATAGAGCCGAGCTCAAGTCTTAAGAACCACGAAAACTCAATAAAGAGTTTAAAAAATCCAAGTTCAAGAGACCTCTTAAGTGATTCTAACCAAAGTCATCTGCTATCATATACCAGTATGAAGTCGACAGAGTTCTCTAAATAGCCAAAAGAAAATGTTATTCTTCACAACTTTGAAAAGTGATATTTTTCGGCTATTGTGTATTTGTTTCACCCAGTTGTCTTCGTACACGTCAACACTAAATTCGAGTCCAATAGAATAATAGTATTTTTCTTTTCCTCTTGACAGCACAGGTTCACTTGAAATTAAGGGCATATTCATTCCCTTACATGAAAAGCAGAAGTCTTACATCGTGGGAAAGTCTCGTCCCCCTTGACCGAAACATGAGTGAGACTCTTCAAAACAGAAACGACAGTCTACACGTGACCACCACAGAAACTGAACACTTTCTTTCAACACACGCACAAACGGCAACTCCGGGGAAGGACCAGAATCGTCGAAAGAAAGTGATTGTAATGTCGTATATGAGATCCGGGTCCACTTTCACTGGGGACCTATTCCAATTCAGCCCTGATGTGTTCTACTTTTACGAGCCTTTGCTGTACATGTCTGATATGGATGAGGTTCCCAGGAACCTCCACGTCAGGTGAGGCAGAAGGGCTAAAAGGATTTCCGTATTTCTTTCCCTTCGTCTGACTGCACCTCATTCTATTCCTCTCTATCTCACAACCTGTCTCTTCTTTGCACCTCAGTCTTTCCTCTTCTTCCATTGCCTCACAATTTTCCATTCTCTCTCTCTCTATCTCTCTCTCTCTCTCACTCTCTCTCTCTCTGTCTCGTTTTCTCTGACTTTCAATCTTTATTTTTTTGTTTCTGTCTCTTTTCCGTTCTCTTCTTTTCTTGTATCTGTATCTTCTTTTTATTTATTTCTCTTCCTCTCTGCTCTCCCCTTTGTTCACTTTCTCTCAATATTCACTTTCTTTCACTTATTTTCAGTCTTTCAAGTACGTCTCTATACTCTCTTTTTTCTGTCTCTCAATTGTTCACAGTCTCTTAATATTTCACTGCATTGCCTCTTAACATTTCTCGTCTTTTACTTCTTAGCCACACGAAAAAGGCTTAACTGTACAGGCAATGGTGACAATACAGCTGAATCCATAGACACCATACAGCCATCGCAGCCATTGTAACCACATTCACAATACAACAGGCATAGTCAGAATACAGTAGCCAGTGTAACTCAAGTCACAATACAGTAGGCCAGAGTATCATATACACAAAACAATAGCCACTGTCCCTATGCAGTAGCCATGGGCACAACACAGAAACCATAGAGATAGCACAGTGGCCATTCGATACCTTACAATTATACAGTTCCATCTGACATTTTTGGCCGTTTTGAGTTACTAAGACCATGAGGTCAGAAAACGAATGTTCTATCTGCTCTAGCAAAATTGTTCCGATTCGCTATCAATATATTCAAAGAATTGCATTTGAAAAAGCTTGACTTATTATGAAACCCAAACATTTTAACGTCAAATTTCTCAAAACTCGGTAATGAGCAGATAGAACTTTGTAATTCTAGAGTAGCACGTTGTCACAGTACATAGGCGATGGTCACAATACAGAAGCCTTAGTGACAATACAGTGGATTTAGTCACAATGTGAAATTCTTATTTCATTTTTCTTTTGTATGATTCAATATTACCAAAATTACATGCATGATTATAAAATGAAGTGAAAAAAATGTCTTAAGATGGACAACTTTTTTGTCATCTTATGTAGAATGGTGCATTTGAAAAGAACGAAACGTTGTAACGAACTAGAACTCATGTATATGGCGACTTCCGTGTAAGTTCTTTAGGTTATTGATTTGTCTTTAGCCTGCCGTCTCCAGGTGTTTCGTTTGTTTTTCATTCAATGACAACCCGAATCATTACCGTATTATGTACATGGAATGTGTATTGAACAATATTCATGGCCCCGTACTTTTACTTTTGCTTCTCTAACTGTGGGCGCGATTGTATTTAAAGATTTAAAATTTGCATTCGTTTTTTGTGACTTCCAAATTAGAAGAAAAGAAAACTCACTGTAAAATGTTACGGCTGGTTGAAGTTACGTAGCGTGGCTTTACCGTTCCGATTGTTCCTACAGCTTTATTTATAGACGACGAAGAAATAGAAAGCGAGTCTTGCCTCGCGGAGAGCTAAAATCATTAAAGATGTATAGCACTCGACACGTCAGTTCTGCTCTAAGAGCGATTTGAGACAAACACGCACCACTAGGTGGCCGAGGTTAGCGTAGGGCTATTTTCGTATAAGAAATAATCATAGACTTTATCCCTAAACCACTCACATATGAAATGAGGGGCCAAGAAGGAAATGTGCCGCGTGCACTCGACCATAGCGAGACTAGTATTTTGTTCTTTATTTTTTAGCGTAATGTCGTAATGCATGGTCGTACGTTTAGCAGTTAGCAGCAAAGTTGTTGGGTTTTGTTTTTTTAATCAAGAGAGCGAAGAGCAGTGGCGGTGATAGTGCGAAACCTAGTCTATTGATTCAATTGGAAGCGGTAAAATATTTTTTTCTCACATAAGAAGCCTTAAAATTCAAAATGTAGTATTATAGAAATCTGTTGAATAGAAAAAAAAATGCGGAACTTGGCTGATTAAGTGGAAACTGCTTTATCTTGAACTGAGATTTGATGGTTTTGAATTAACACCTCCTTTAGGTCACTTTTCAACACTGTTAAAATTATTTCGACGGATTTGGGGGTTCGGGTACAGACTCCAGGGGAGCGAGGCTCATGCGTGTGTGGCCATTTTTACTTTCGTCTCAGACAAAACGGAATGAAGATGGTCGGAGAGCCGTAAAAATATTTTTTTTAAAAACAACAACTCTTCAAACAATCAAGCCCAAAATAGTCCTCCTGCAGCGAGATTTTAACCGAGTTTGTCATGATACTAGCTGGGGGGACTCCTCCGAGCCCCTGCC